GACTTGCTCTGTAATCCCGGGTCAGCCACTTGGCCATCTGTGCTCAGCTTTTCCTCCTTTAACACTTGATTCATTGTGTTGCACTGGGACAGGGCTGCTGGGAGTGCGGTGTATGGAGTGCCCTGTGGTGACAGGGGTCATGTGAGGACCAGCTGCAGAAAATTTGGCTGTGCTCCCTACTTTCCTTTCCTCATTAGGTTGTGGAAATAAAAAAACAAGCCCAAAGCTGTCATGTGCACATGGTAGTCACAGTCACATAGATAATAGCTTGGCTGTTAAAAGGGTTTTAGCCATGACTTTTCTTGAACACTGCTTACTGCTACAACAAGAAGCTTTGCAAGACAATAAATTGGAAACCATGACACTGTCATGCTACCCCTTTCCACAGAAAGCACCCTGGGTCTGTTCTGTTTGTTGAAATTTGCAGTTTCTTCAAGTTCAATGTTCAAGTTTTTCATTCTTCAGCTTTGAGGCTTTGAAACTGTTTTGATGCTTGAGTTTCACATACGATTATCACTCTCCAGGAACTGAGTCTTAAAGTGCCAGCTGTCACAAGCATCAGAATCAAATTGGAGGAGCTGAAAAATCTGTAGGCATAGGCAGGTGCTGTGACTTACCCAGGGCTATATGGCAAACTGAGTCAAGATTAAAATTCAGGTCTTGTGATTTCCCCAGAGAATGCTATGCCCACGGGATCTAGCTGATTTTTCTGGTACAGCTTTGCACAAGACAAACTGCAGTTTATGCCTTGGGTGGTTAAAATATGTTAAAAATAGACTGGTCTTGGTTACCGTAGTGTAGAAATGCAAGATCTGGCATTAGCTGTCTTTACTGGCAGTTGAATTTCTCATTCTGTGCAGTATCTGGAAATCTGTGTTTGCTTTGCAGGCTCTGGGAAGGTTGTCTTGCAGGATCAGGTAGTTTTTTGCTTGCTGGGCCCCAGCACACACTGTGGCAGGAGCTATCTGGTGTAATCCAGAGGACCTGAAGACTGGATTTATCTCAAACTCTGTATCAGGTTGTTTAGATGTCACACACTGCCAAATCTGGACTGTGCAGTACCAGAGCTGACCTTGAGCACAGGCAGCGAAACCCCTGGAGTGGAGGAAGAGGGGGCTGCAGAAAAACATTACACACTGAGGCTAGCCAGGGCGGCTGGAGTCCATCGGTGCCCTCATATCCCTGGCACTTCCATCTTCCCAGTAGATTGCCCAGGCCCAGTTTTTGGTCTCTGCCACAGTTCCCACATGTGAAGCTGGCAGGAAGCACTTGCTTGAGCTGAAGCTGGAACTCTGTCTCTTGTGGAGTGGGTGCTGGTCAAACTGTGTACCCAGAAAACTGGAATAGTCCTGTCAGCATCCACTGATTGCAGCAGGCACCCCATTATCTATGTAAACAGTGAATGTTTTCATTCAGATTCAGAGGGAAGCTGGACAAGTGTCTTGGAAGATGGGGGAGGAGCCATGTGGCTCAAGAATTACCCCAGGCTGGCAGATCCCTTCAGGGAAGCCTTCTCTGTGCTTGCCCTGTTGTTACTCTTTACTCACCAGCCATTCATGGACGTTGTTGAGGGCACGATGCTGGGCTAGATTAACTCTGCCATGACCCCATGTGGATGTTCTTATGATGGAAATCAGCAGCCCAATATACAGAGACTGTCCTGACTGCAGGCTAGGTGTGGAAATTAATTCTTTGTTGACTCAACCTTGTCCTGGCAGAAGAGAGCTGGAAAAATTAATCCTGTAAGGAAGTTTTGGTAACGACCCCTGGCTTTGTCACTGGAGATGTCTTGACTACATCTCACTGGAGGAGCCTGGCAGGTTTGCCTGACCAAAAGCATTAGATGTCCATACCTGTCTTTTCTGTCTTCTCCACTTGTGTCAGGCAAGCATGGCTCTTCCCAAGCTGATCTTTCTGCACCCAAGCCAGCTTGGCTGGCCTTACTTTTGGGTACCCAGTTTTAGTACTGTAATGACTCCAGCCTCTTTCAAAGTTGTTCTTCATTGATGTTCTGTATCTTGCTGATGAAATTGCTTCCCCAGTAGTTTGTGGTGATGATCTGTAACTGGGGAAGGTATGACAGCATTTGTTAGACTGAGATCTGCTTTCTGCCTCATCCTCATTTATACCATGTAATGTCTTTACAAACATGGATGGAGTCAAAGAGCTTCTGAGTCAAAAGCCTCTGGGAGAGAGGTCCATCAGAGCTGCAGTGTATTTTACTTACTGGATCTCTCTCTTATTTGCCACTTAGTTCCTCTACAAGTGCTGTCTTACCGTCGGCATCTGGCTTGAAGCCTCTTGAAGCAGCTTGAACAAGAGACTGTGCACTCCAAACACCGAATTAATGGGCTGGGTCTTTTACATGTTAGTGAGATCCTTTCAGACTCTTGTCCGTGTTAGGCTCCCAGCTCTTCTAGTTAAGAGGCTTTTACCTCAGCCAATGTTGGGAGCAACAGCACAGCTGGGCTTTCGGTAAAATGAGGAGGAGCTAGAGGTAGTGAGGTAACTTACCTGATTTCAGCTTGCAAAAGAGAATGAACATCCTTCTCGTATAACCTTTTGTTTGCTGCAGCAGAGCTGGGGAGACGACGTCTGTGTGGGCTGCTCTGGCTTTTGAAATAGAAATGCTGAAGCTGGTAACAAGAAAGTAGGGTCTTCTTTACTTCTGGAGACCTCCGTGTCTCTTAGGGAGCTTGAGGGATGTTTCAGAAAACATATTTCTTATTTGCACTTATTCTGGCTGTTTTCCTCAATCCTGTCGTGGTTCTTGCTTTGAACTCCCAGTTTGTTTCCTCCTCTGCTGCCCCCTACGCTCACTGTCTGATACAAAGTGCTGCTTGTGCTGAGACTGGGTCTTTGCAGAAGGAAAGGATCTGGCAAAAAGCTTTAGCAAGGTGGCCTGTAGCAGCCAATAATTATCATTCATCAGTGTGTGTCTGTGTGATTCCTCCCTGTAATCACCTGTAAAATCTTTGCAGCATAAGATATTTTGGTCTTTTTATTTTATTTTATTTCAAGGTCAGCTTTGCAACTTTTACTTGAATGTGAAAAGTAAGCTGGGGTTCTTTGTGACCTCTTCGTTACTAATACGTACAGAGCTACCATCAGAAGCAAGCTGACTGTCCAGCTAATGTATAGAATCAAGCTTTAGGCTCCAAATTTTGCCATGTTGCCTCCATAACACACACAAAAGAAGTTTGGTAGGAGGGTTTGTTTGAAAAAGAGCAAGAGAGAAAGTTACCCCCTGCCTTCTCACTTTTCCTGCTTTCTTCCCTCCTTTCCTCTGCAATATTCCCCAGGGCTTGTGGCCAGCTCTGTGTCCATTGCTTGCCAGGGATGTCTACTTGGCTGGAAACCATTTATAGGTAGTTTTCTGCAGAGTTTCAAATAAGTGTCATCTTAAGTCACACTAAATGGAGGTGCCCTGAAAAAACACTGACTTGGAAGGTGGAGTGAAGTGTTCTGCTTGTTCGTTGAAGCAGAACCACCTTCTGGCTCGCAAACCAGTAGTAATAAATGGAGTCAAGTGGCGTGGTGCATAATTGCCTTTTCCTTTTGTATTGTGTCAACTTCATACAGTTCTTGCATGTGACATTTTTCCTGGCCATCATGCTCTTTATCCTCCCTTTGTACTAAGAGTGCAAACAGAATTAACTTGTTTGTTATCATGGCATTTGTACGCGGCTTTTAATTTCTTGCAGATTAAAAAAAAAGGCAACCAACCCTCAAGCCCTCTTTGTCTGGTACTGTTTAAATCTGCTCTCAGCCTGCTTGCACAGCTTGCTTCTGCCCTGCCATGCTGAACACAAATCTGCAGAAGGAGAAGTCTAAAGCAATCAGTGTAACAAGGCTTAAAAAATGCAGTGGTGTTGCTGAAGAAAAGCTGAAGCGCGTTATGTGGCATCAGTAAGTTGGAAGGTGGGGTGGGGTAGGGATGTGTTGTACACGTCTTTACAGTCTCAGTGCTGTGCTTGGAGGGGTGCTCTCATTCCCAGCCTTTTTGGTTTAGGTACTTGCAAGTAACAGGGATTATTTTCTTTGGCCTCTGAAACGTCTCCATAGTTGTGTGGTTTCCTTCCTATAAATGTGACCATTTCAGATTAAAATTCTGTGTGGCAGCTTGTGAGCTCTCAAAACAAAGGCTGGGAGGCAAGGAGGGCAGGAGTGCCCAGCTTCGTAACTTTTTCCCAGTGTAGGAATTGTCTGACCTACCTTTATGCTGTGATAACATGAGAGAACATGGAGTTACTTGTGAAGCATTAATGAAAAAGTATCAGAGGTGGAAGTTCAGCCAGGGACCTGGATGGCAGTGGGCTGGGAGAGCCATTCCTTCTCTTTCCTCCGTCACTTGCAGAGATCTCCCTCCTCTGCCTGCATCCCGCTCTGGGTTCTTGCAGTTGCGATGCAGGTTTGGTGTTCAGGGACGGTGCAGAAAAGCAACAAGAGGAGGAAAAGTACATGTTATTACCAGAGCAACCAAGACCAGAGAGAAAAGCATCCTGGTCAGGGCGTAGAGGGAGCTGTGCGAGAGCTGGGAGCTGGCCAAGCCCCCGTCTCAGCTACTGTGGGACTATCACCATGCTCCCATGCAGATTTTCCTGCATGCTTTAATATTCTCTTCTTATCCTTTCACCTTTGCCAAAACCTTCTCTTGGCATCTGGCTTTTACCAGCAGGGAACTCTGACTGCCCTGTAGGTCTGAGCCAGAGGAGGACAGATGGCAAAAGACCATCGTTGCTGAGTGCAGGATCTGGAGCCCATCGCTGTGCGGAGGGTTTTGGCTGTGTGGCAGGCTTGGTTACACCCGTTTGTGTGTGGTCCGTAACCCTGACACACTCTCTGCGCACTATCTGTCTTCGCCCTCTCCCTTCGGGAACAGATACAAATGCTGAATGTTGTTCTCTCAAACCAACAAGGCACATAACTCCATGGTGTGTGGAGTGGAAGTGGAGGATCGTGTTTGACTGGGGTTTTTCTGTTTCCTGCCTCACAGCTCTTCTGTTTGCCCCTGCCCTGGGGGAAAAGACTTTGAGAAGATGGAGAACCAAAGGGGAGAACTTTTGGGATACATCCACTGGGAAGGAGAAGAGGAAAGGGATGAGGAGGATGAGGTGGCTCCTGGTGCTTCTCCTTCCAGTCAGATGAGTGAATTAGAAGATGTGCAGGTGGAGATGCTTGAGAAGGCAAGGGAGCTCTTCCAGCTGTGTGACAAGGACGAGAAGGGTTTTATCACCAAGGTGGACATGCAGGTGAGGGAAAAAATCCTTCCTCTTTCCTGGGAGAAGCTGCAAAGTCATGGGTGGCAGGAAAGGGGGGGGACTGTGGCATGGCTTTACTTGTGGCAAGCGTGGGTGTGCATGTGGGCTCTGTGTCACTCAGATTTCTGGAGGCCAAACTCTGCCACAGCCAGCTGCTAGGAACCAAAAGTCCCAGGAGAGCCCTAGACCCTCAGGGAATTCCTGGGACACGTGGGACTCCAATTCCAAATTTTTAAGGAATGCATAAAATTAAAAAAAAAAAATTAAAACCATTCCTACAAATATTAAACATGCAGTGGATGGGAAATCTGGGAGAAAAAACCTTTGGTTTAATTTAGAAAAACAAAACAACAACCCCCCACCAAAACCACAGTCAACAATGACAAAAATCCACCAACCCCGTAACAAGAACAGCTTTGTATTTTTTTTTGTCACCATCATAGCTAAAGCCTGATCTCTAAGACTCACTTTAGGCCTGGACTATAACTTCGCCCTAGAATCATGTGTTTTGCTGCTTTCTGTTTAACGTTTGTTAACAGAATGTTACCGTTCTTTGTGTTTTATTTTTATGCTTTATCAGGAAGATTATGTGCAGGTTGTTTTTCTTCTGTCTCATCTCTCCCTCCATCTCTAATTAACACCTGGCAGGTCTACGCTAGTTTAATTATTTAATTATTAAGTCAATTTTTGGGGGGTTGTGTGCTACCTAATTTTGTACAGTTACAGTAATTAATGAGTATTAAGCTTTTATCTAAAGCTGCATGTTTCTGGAAGCTTCTTTGGATGCCCCTTCACATTAGGTGCTCTGCACATGTATTATGAAGGGAAATCTCTCTGCTTCTCATCTGTGTTGTGGGAATAGTGATATGGTCCCAGAAGGTGCCAGAAGAAAGCTAATTCTCTGTTACGGACTGAACATTTTGTTTATGGTCTGCGAGATTTCCTGCAAGAGCTGGGAACTGAATCCAGACGCCCACAAGTCTGTCCTCCCTCTCTGACCAAAGAGATGGAGTTGGTACCACAGGGAGCTCTCTTGGGAGCAGCAGTGGTGACAGGAGGCTGGCAGTGCCCCTGTGGCAGCCACCTTTGGGCAGGGGTGGAGGGAGGCAGGCAGTGAACTAGAGGCAGCAGTTCTGAAGTGGGGGAGGAAGAGGCTTGAGCTCCCTCCAAACAAAATAACCCGAAGCTTCCTCTCTGCGGTCCTGGATGAATCATTCAGTAATGGAAAGTGTTGCTGTGTCAGTGGGTCCAAGCAGGCTTTTGTGCCGTCACTCAGCTGTACTGGCAGGCTGTCGCATCCCAGACAGGATGCAGTCCTGAAAGGGCACATTGCCAGGGGCCAAAACTGAGGACAGCAGGGAAAGGAGGTAGTCACAGGGAAGACTTCGAGTGGTGTCTTCATTTTTTTCATTCTGTTGTCTCTGCAGCGGCTCCAGAGTGAACTCCCCTTAACCCTTGAACAGCTGGAGACTGTTTTTGACAGCTTGGAACAGAACAATAATGGATACCTGACACCTGTGGAGTTCAGCATGGGACTAGGTAAGGACTGCACAGAAGCAGAGGAAGGAAAAAGCCTGCCTGTGACATGATGTTGGTGAGAAAGAAAGTGCAGCAGCTCTGCTGAAGCTGTACCAGCTATGCAGGGCAATATCGCATGCTTATGTGAGTAGCACTGGAGAAGGTGTGTGTGCAATGCTGCTATTCCCCTTCCTGAGGCTTTGTTGCCTTCTTCCACAACTGTTACCTGCCTACCTGGTAGAGCCAGCTCCTGGCAGATGGTACACACTGCAGCCTGTATTTGGCCCTGTGATCCACAGTTGTTCATCTGGATAAGGACCTTTGTTGGTTGAGGGGACAGAAATATGCCTCTTGGCAACTCTTCAGCTGGTTTATGCAGTGCTGTTTTAGGATATTAGTAGGAGTTCTGTTAGTAGGCTAGCACACTGGTAAGGAGGCTTTTGTTTTCCTTTTGTTGTTGCCTTTTCCAAATACTACAAGAATGCTAATCCTATACCAGAGTCATCACTGAGCAGTACAAGTAGTGCAAGAGGTGTTAAGGAGGAGGCATGACCACAGCACTAATACCTTTCCCATGGGTGCTTACTTGCCTAAGCTGGTTGTAAGCTCTCAGAAAATCTGCACCCTGTTAGCACCTTCCTTGGACATGTAGCTGAGTTAATGGGATCAGGGCAAAGCAAGTGAACTAGTGTTTTCAGAATTGACTGAGGAGACTCTTGAGTTGCAGTGTCCTGACTGCTCAGTTTGTGGTTGCTTGTGGCTTTTCTCACAACTTTGAGAGAGCTGGGGGTCTTTTCTGTGCTTCAGTTTGAATGGCCAGAAACAGCCAGCCCTGAAAGGAGAAGCTGTAAAGATTTGCTCAGAATAAACGTGGAAAGCTGTGTCTTGGCCCAGGCTGTTCTGGAAATGTGTTAACCTGTTGAGTTCTTGCTGACTGTGCCTGTTTCGACCTTGTGTCCCTGCCTGCGGCGGTGAAGCCTTGTGGGCTGATTCTGCTGCCTTTGCCAGAAACAAGAGTCATCTTGGGACCATGGGCTTTTCTGCTCAGCGCTGTGTAGAAGGTGAATGGGTATCATTTGGGCACCTTGGCATCCACAGTGCCCTCTGCATTATGACTTGGTTATTCCCAAATCTCATTGTTTGAGACATTTGTCCCAGCCATAGCCATAGCTGGACTTCATGATGATAGCTGCCTCAGTGGCATGGCTGGCAGAGGTGGGCAAGACTTCTCTGTGTCAGCCACTAGTTGTCAGGTACCACCTGGCTACCTGGTTGGTAGCCTGGCTCTGTGGGACTTGCTTCAGTCTAGGCAGAATGCTTCATTTCTGCCTTTTTCTTTTCTTTGTGGTTGTTCTTTGTGTTTGGCTTTATTGAAATCCTTTTCAGGCTTTGTCCCTTACTCAAGAGTCTGTCCTGACGTATTGCTGTCTTCCTTCTGGAGTGCGCAGGGAGGAAATCAAGGGAAGTGGTGCAAGCTGCAATCAGCTTTGCTTCTTGCTCCTTACATGGTCTCTGAGAGGTTACAGGGTGCATCTGCACAACTGACAAAAGAGCATACATTTAAACTGCTTGTCTTAAAGCAATCTGAGATCCTTCTAGGATGTCAAAGCAATTCTCAGATAATTCTCTACCTCAGTTTTCCCAGCTGTAAAAGAGAGATAATGAGACATAATGACTCCTTTTTTAAAGCAGACATCCAAAGTGCCTAATCTAAGTCCATCTCCTTAATTGACTGTCTGAGCCTCAGATTTTAAGCTGATTTTAGGGCCTGTATCCCCACACTGCAATTTTTTTTCTTACAGCCAGCACATTTTAAGAGCAGGAGAGAAGTGGGTAAGTTCTGGACATAACAAAGCTAAGTAGTGGTCAAGTTAAGTGACTTGAGGTACACAAATAGCGGGTACTTTTCCCCTTAGAGCAGTTTCATATTCTCATCCATGCTCTGATCATCCTTGGCTCCTGGCCCTGTAGCTGGAATGTAATTTCTGCCTTTTGAACTAAGCAGGTATATCTTGGGAAGGAAGAGTAGCTCCTAATGGAGATCTGACCACTGTATACAGGATGGGGACTTGTGTTTTGGATAGGATTGCTTGATTTGTTTGTTTGGGAGGAATCTGTTTCCAGCACCAGTATTTGTCACATGCCTTGCATAGTATGAAGCTATTGTGATATGAGTGTCTCAGCATGAAACAGGATCCAGATAGCAGGAAGCCATTGTCTCCGTTCAGGGCTCAGGGCAAGCCCAGGGAGCAGGATTTTCTCTCTATTGCCTCCCACCCTCCCAGGGAAGGAATAAAAAAAAGGAATAGAGAAGAGATGCTCCACACAAGGTTGGAAGTTAAGACTGTAACAAGTTTAATGAAAACAACAGGGGAAAGGAAAAGGGAATTAGTAAGGGACAAAGGATATTTAACTGTATACAAAACCCGATCTCAGTGGTCCCGAGTGGAAGTGTCCAAGCAGTGCCCCGTGGCCACTGTGACCGCTGTGACTCGTCACAGGGACCGCAGTGGTGCCGGGAGCGGGTGGTGGTGGATGCTGCCGAGCACGTGGAGATAGCCCAGCCGTCCTGAGATGCAACAGGAAACAGCCCAGGAAAGCCAGGAGAAGCCTGAGAAACATCAGGCCTCCTCAGTTTTTTTTAGACTGTGGCCAGAAAGGGGAGGGAACAGAACTGATCTCTGACCCCTCAGGGTCCTACAGACACCACCTGTCCTAGATGTAGCACAGGAGAAGGGAAGGGTAATGACTTCCTCCTCACTTTTTAAGCTGGAGAACTGAGGCATGGTGCTATTCAGTGCCTGGATTGCGGTCCCAGAAGTTGTTATGGGATAACTGGCAAATGAACCCACAGCACCACTCCATGGGAATGAAGTGACCTAATACTGCATGGTTCACATGCTGAGAATCCAAGGCTGTGGGTGGTAGATCATCTTCGTGCAGATGTGAGTAGAGCCCTAACAGCCTGTTGTTGGGCTAGGAGCCAGTTTCAGTCCCAGCATTGCAGACTGCTTGCTGACATCACTCAGGATGTCAGAAGAGAGGCTCTTTACTGACCAGGAGCTGCATTATGCACCAGCAGCGTGCAGACAGCTTCTCAATGGACCTCTTTTGGGCTGCCATTTAAGTAGCAGCTTATTAAATGACATCCAATTCGACTTTATTCTCCTTCTTCCCTCTTCCTTCCACCAGGAAAGTTAATAGGCATTGAATTGTGTCAAGGGACTGGGAGAATGGATCACTCCAGACAGGAAGAGACCTTTGAGTCAGGCTGGTCAGATGACTTGGAGCTGGCAGATGATGAAGAGAAACGATTCTGTTCCATGATGGAGCAGCTCGGAGCAGCCCACATGTTTGAAGAGTAAGTAGGAGAGTCGCATGGCATTACTTCTACCCTGTTTTGATCCTGTGATACCAAAACTTAAAAGTACCAGTAAAGACCAAAGAGGTGAACTGAGCTGCTTGCTCTCTGAAACACTGCTCGGGCTTTCTGTACTGTCTTTCTGTCTTGGGTTTTCACATGCCTGGCAACAAATGCAGTGAAGTCTGGGTTTTACAATTACTCCCTTGTGGCCAAGAAGGCCAATGGCATCCAGAGGTGTATCAGAAGGGCTGTGGTCAGTAGGTCAGAGAGGTTCTCCTTCCCCTCTACTCTGCCCTGGTGAGACCACATCTGCAATATTGTGTTCAGTTCTGGGCCCCTCAGTTCAAGAAGGACAGGAACTGCTTGAATCGTGCAGAGCCACAGAGATGATTGAGGGAGTGGAGCATCTCCCTTGTGAGGAGCAGCTGAGGGAGCTGGGTCTCTTTAGCTTGGAGCAGAGGAGACTGAGGGGTGCCCTCATTCATGTTTATAAATTTGTAAAGGGCGAGTGTCAGGAGGAAGGAGCCAGGCTCTGCTCTGTGATGTCCAATGACAGGACAAGGGGCAATGGTCCCAAGCTGGAGCATAGGAGGTTCAACCTGAACATGAGGAAAAACTTTTTCCCTGTGAGGGTGCCAGAGCATGGCCCAGGCTGCCCAGAGAGGTTGTGGAGTCTCCTTCTCTGCAGACATTCAAAACCCGCCTGGCCGTGTTCCTGTGTGACCTGGTCTGGTGATCCTGCTCTGGCAGGGGTTGGACTGGATGAGCTTTCGAAGTCCTTTCCAATTCCTAATATTCTGTGTGATTCTGTGTGATTTAGTGCAGTGCTTTTCACAAAGAGTTTCTCATACTAGAGTTCATGCCATGGCTGTAAAATGTAGAAGTTGGTGGCATGGAAGCCCTTCTGCATGCAACAAATGAAAAGAAGCATGTCAGGGTTAGACAAGGTAAGGAGGATGAGTGGGCTGGCTGTTCCACAATGGTGGGTGACTTCACATATGTTCAGAAAATCTTAGTTCCAAGAGTCTCTGTGAAAGATCCATGCTCAAGGGGCTGTTTGGGACTGTGCTGATCTTGAAGAGATCTGGCTAAACTGGGCAAGGGATGCTCGCTTGAGCCTTGAAATTTGATATTAATGCCCTTGTATGTGGTTCCAGTAGAGTCTGCTGGCACCAGTGTCATCCAGCCTTTTTTAGGGCTTTCCCAAGTGAAGCATTATGCATAACTGGTTCTTACTGATGCACATCTGCTGGGGCTGGGGTGCCCGGCAGCATCTGTGGCAGCCTTTTTTGTCATTGTCCAACAGTGCTGCCAGTTTGCAGGGAGCAGCCCAGGTAGGGGCAGGGGATGGACAAGATTGGAGACAGAAGCTGCGAATGAAGGAGTTTGCTGCTTGCAGAGCTGCATTTGCCATGAAACAGATTTTTTTTGTCTCGTTTGCATTGTAATATGAAGCATCTGCATATTTATTTCAATGCTAAACAACTTCTTGTGAAAAATTCTGGAAATCTGTTATTCCTCAAATAATGAAACGAAAGGCCATGAATGTAATGAAAGCCCATGTTACTGTTTTGGAAAAATAGACTCTGCTGTTTATAGCTCTGTTTTGAGAAGCATCAAGTCTTAAAGTGGAATTATCCCGTGTTTTATTTTGATCACTTACTTGCAGTTTTATGCAATGAGTTCAGTCATGCCTTTGTGCCAAGCCAGATGTTGAATAGAAATAATCTAAAACAGAAGCTCATTGGGGTTGGAGCAGGATTCTGTGCTATCCCCACTGCTTTTCCTGGAAATAAATGGCTTTGTTTATTGACAGGACTCAGTATGTTCTGTTATCTAAAACACACAGTAACTTTTTCAACTTGGGACAGAAAAAGGAGGGGGTTTGGTTGTTTGTTTTCTGCAATGAGTATTAAAGAAGACAAATGCATAGACAAAGAAAAGTATCTTTTTAATGTCTACAGGTATAATTAGTCTGTACATTTCAAGGCAGCTCCTCCAAAGTACTTCATGGATTTTAAAATAAATAAAGAGCTCTTCCCCAAAAAAACCCATGAAGTGATGTCTGCAGGCTTATAAGACTATTTGGGAAGGAGTAATTTTATACGTGCTGTGTTCAAGTTGCAATGAATTAAATGGCAAAACAGTTTAATCATGACTGCAGGTTCAGAAAAAGAAGATTTGGGGTTTCCAGGGCTTCTTCCGTTATTATCCCTATGTGACACCTGGGTAAATTTGCTGCTTTTGTTTGTGTCTTAGTTTCCAAACCTGTAAAATAAATAAATAACAAGGACAGTAATACCCACCAGTACAGTCTTGGTGTGAAAGCAACACCTACGTGATGCATGCTAAAATCCCTGGGCTGTTACACTTTGCTGCTTGACAATAGCTTACAGCAAATTTGCTGAATGTTCATCTCTTCAAGTCTTGGTTTAGGCACCAAATGTGTTATTGCTGAATACTTGAAAAATAATAGTTCCAGGTTTGCTTCCTAGATGACTTTTCCTCTTTCAGATGACTTCCTTTATTTTAACCTTGCAGTAGACCTCACTTCACATGCATACCCCGTCACAGTCCAGCTCCTTTTCTGTGCTGGTGTCATGGAGGTCATCAGTGTAACGAAGGTCTGTCCCAGCTGCATGTTGGAGTTGGAATAACAGTCCATAAGATGACACAGAAACTCATTTGCTTTTCTTCTCTCCTGTATGCTTGATTCAGTCCACGTGAGGTTCAGGACTTCTGGACTCGGCTACGAAAGGAGCGTCCAGAGCTGCTGGCCAATTTTGAAGAGTTTCTGTTGCGTGTTTCATCATACGTAAGGGAGGTGAATCATGAGAAGGAGTCTATGGAACAGGCATTGAAACGGTGAGGAGAACATCATGGTTGTTTGCTGATGCTTGGATCCTGCCTCAAGTGCAAGGAGAGACTGGGTTCCAGGACGCAGAGATTTTTCTTGCTGTAATAAAGTTACTCTTTATCTTGAACTGATCCGCACGGGTTCATTTTGCATCAGTGCCCACCCATAACATTATGTCTGGTTAAAATCTCACTCAATGCTACACAGTTGTTAGTGAGAATCTGTTTCCACCCTCCTCTCCTGTATTCTCTTTCTCTTTCCTGACCTGTGTGCACCCTGCCTTTTGTAGGAAGGAAACAGACCATGACCGAGAAGTCCGGTGCCTTTATGAAGAAATGGAGCAACAGATCAAAGCAGAAAGAGAGAGGCTGCTCTGCCAGGTACTGCATCTCTCTTGGCTGAAGTCAAAATTTCTCTGGTCTGATGAGAGTGGTGGCTCATCTGGCCCAAGGAACAGCTCTTGCTGTGCTGGGTGTTGTATGCACAGCCGTGTATCTTTACCTCTGCAGGAAGCACTAAGACATGATAGGAGTAACCTGCTCCAGAAGGAACTGCACAGCAAAGAGCAGGAGCTGGAGAAAATCCTCTGCTGCCAGAAGAAGGTAAAAGGACCCAAATCCTTTCTAAAAAAGCATGTCCACTTCTACTGTCTCTCTGCTAAGGCCTTTTGTGACTGAGAATGGTCTTCATCTGCTGAGGGTTGGTAGTCGCTAGTCCAGTTCTCTCCTGTCGCTGAAGGTGTTGAAGTGGGTTTGTCAACTGATCTTCAACTATAATGTCTTCCTGTGAATGTTTTGTTCATGCATTTTCTTATCTGCTTTGTTTTCTCTTGGCACAATCTTCCTATTAGTTGTACAATAACTATTTGGCAAGGAAGACAGGGTAAAAATTCGGATGTTTTGAGTTTGGAGCCTTTTGAGGTGTGTAAGAAAACTCTGTATGGACACACAAGAGCCAAGTTTCTCTAGTTTGTGTTTTCTGGCTGCTCTGAAATATCCCAGAGTGAACAGTTCTGTGGTGCTTAGAGCTGTGCGTACTGTATATTTGCATTTCAGCACCTAATGACCTAATGATTAATCAGTCACAGAAAAGATCAAAGCAGAAACTTTCCTTTAGCCTGCTGTCCCTGGCACGGACATTTGTATGGGATAGTCCATTCTGCATGTCATCTTCCTTCTTGTCTGAAGAACCAAGACATGATCTCCACAGAAACAATGCATCGGAGGTACCTGTAAGCTGCTGGTGACTGAGGGTATCCAGGTTGGATACCTAGCTGTGATGTGGATGAAACAGCACTTCTCTGAAATCATCAGCTCATTGTGCAGCAGCTGGAAAGGCCAGCAAAATTCAGCTGCCATCAGGAAGGATATTGAAAAGAAGATAGAGGACATTACTTTCCTGCTGCCCACAACCTTAATGTGCCTCCATTGGTATGTGCAGTTCTGGTCTCCTCTAACTCCATTGTGTTCTTCTTGAGTATGAAGGTACAGAGAAATAATATGATTAAGGAAATGGATCATCTGCCTTAGGAAGAGAAACTAGGAAAGCTTAGACTTGATTTTGGAAAGGAGGAGGAGACTGAGGGATGATACAAGTCAGCTTTATGGACTTAGGAAGGTGGTGGATAAGGTCCACATAGAGCTGTTATTCCCTAAATCCTGCAACAGCAGAGGTGAGGGACACACTATATCTATGTCCCTCTCTAAAGAGATAGCAGCAGCTTTGTGTTCACAAGCCCTGGTCCTCATAGGGGATTTCAAGCACCCTGACACCTGCTGGAAGGACAACACAGCAGGGCACCAGCGATCAAAGAGGTTCCTCGAATGCATAGATGACAACTTCCTTCTCCACGTGTTAGAGGAACCAACGAGAAGAGGTGCCATGTTGGACCTCGTCCTCACCAACAAGGAGGGGCTGGTGAGCAACGTGAAGCTCAAGGGCAGCCTCTGCTGCAGTGACCACGAAATGGTGGAGTTCAAGATCCTTAGGATATCGAAGAGGTCGCGCAGCAAGCTCACCACTCTGGACTTGAGGAGAGCAAGCTTTAGTCTCTTCTCACCACTCTGGGCTTCAGGAGAGCAAACTTTAGTCTCGTCAGGGATCTGCTAGGCAAGGTGTTGTGGGATAAAGCCCTGGAGGGAAGAGGTGCCCACGCAAGCTGGTTGATATTCAAGGACCATCTCCTCCAAGTCCAGGAGCAGTGCATCCCAAGAAGGAGGAAGGGAGGCAAGAATGCCAGAAGGCCTGGTGGATGAACAAGGAGCTCCTGGATTTACTTGGGCGCAAAAGGAAAACCTACAGGGAGTGGAAGCG